AGAGAGAGGGTAGGGGTTGGCTCTCCACCTTTACTTCCTCTCTTTCGTACGACTCCACTCCTCACCACGTAGCTCTCTCTCTCTCTCTCTCTCTCTTTCTCTTCGGGCCTTTGTAGCCTCTGTATTCGCGTGGGATTTGAATGCTTAACCCTTTTAATTATCTTCTCATTTTACCTGTCTATCTCTTCTGTTTCTTTTCTAATGTAGTTCAATGTGGAAGGGGGAACCGGAAACCTACGGGCCAAGACAAAGAACTCCATTTATATTAGGCCATGGCATTTCAACTTAATTATTTATTTATTCTCATGTTTTGGTAGTGAAATTGGAAGTTTTCCCCTTCATTACTAATTGTTATCGTTGTTGTTGTTATATTAAATCCCTCAATGGCATGTTGGTTGAATGTCCTAGTGGCTCAATCTGCTTTCTCTTTGTTGAATTCTCTTTCTTTTTAGGTTTTGAATGTTGTAAAAAGAAAAACCATAGTCCTTTCTATTTTCATACTGTTTAGAGTCGGGACTAGCGGGCCCAAAAAACGAGTCAATTAGGTTGATTAGCCCCCAAAGGGTTGTATAGTTTACATCTGTTGCATAGGTTGAATCCTATATTATTGGTCTATAAACGTTTTTTATCTTTGGAAGGACTATGGCTGTATCCATTTGATATCCGCGTTAAATAGAAGGGTTTTGCTTTGAGAAGGGGAATTAACAGTTGGAGGATTCGAGCATTTCTATTAGATTTAAATAATTGAAGGTGAACACATATTTTTGCTATGAGAAGATTCTCCAGTTAGTTTACGCACTTCTCTCTTTCTGTTTTGTTCTAAGTGATTTTATACAATGATACTGTTAGCCTTTGTTCACAAAGTTCACAAACACCCCAAAACTGTCCTATTTAAAATCACATTGCTGCAGTGTGTCACATCTCCACTCAAAATCTACTGAATTTTTTCTTGAACTTGTCAATACAGTACGCCCCTACCCATCCAATTTCACATCTAATGGCTAGGGGTAATTTGGACCTTTTAATGCCAAATGTAAACGGTCTTATCATCAACTTCCCCTTGTTTCTACGTTTTGGTTTTGGCATCATTTGTGTTCTTCACAAAATGTCTTAGAACTTGTTGTGTTTGTCACTTAAAGTCTTTTGAGTTCTTGCAAGTGTAGTGCAGCCTTAATTCATCATCATCATCATAGCCTTGTCCCAATGAATTGGGGTCGGCAACATGAATCCCTTTTCACCATTCTGCTCTATTAAAAGCCATACCCTCAATTAGGCCAAAAGTCCTCATATATTTTCGGACTCCTTCCAACCACGTCCTTTTGGGCCTACCCCTTTCCCTTTTCAATCCTTCCATTTGAACTAACTCGCACCTCCTAATAGGTGCTGTATTGGGTTGGCGCCACACATGGCCAGCCCATCTAAGTCAGCTCTCTCTCATCTTATTGCCTATTGGTGCCACACCTAAATTTTCTCAAATGGATTCATTTCTAATTCTATCCCTTCTTGTTTTGCCACTCATCCATCTCAACATCTTTATCTCCGCTACACATTCTATGGGTATATTATTTTTTGTCCTCTCAACATCCCGCTCCATAGAGCAAAGCTGGTCTCACAACTGTCCTACAGAACTTGCCCTTCAACTTTATTGGTATGCGGTAATCACATAAAATTCCAGTTGTACATCTCCACTTCGCCCACGTAGCTCTAATTTTGTGTATGATTACTTCCTCAATCTCTCCATTTTCCTGGATTATTGACCCAAGATATCACAACCTTAACTGTGGCCTAATATATTGGGGAAGGAAATCCTTTTTCTTTTTAAAAATATTTGTCTTGTATTGAGTATGTACTTCTTTTACAATGTTCCAAGCATAGGCACCCCGTAGGTCAGGTGCTCGTACAAGTGAAGAAGTCGAAAAATGACCCCAAACCCTCAAAATACATGGGGCTGCACAGCTATAAAAGTATGCAATTATAGCTATACAATCCCACTCTGGGAAAAGCCGTGGGATTACTCTATCATGTCCCTCGTCGCTTCACCGACTATTTCATCCTTGGCTAGGGAATTAGCTACATCGTTGGCATCCCCAAAGATGTGTATGAAGGTGACACAAAGGTTCCTGCAATGACAAAAGATGTGATCAAATAAGGGGACTTATCTCCAGGGGCCGTGGGTTCTTTTAGAGGTTCAAACACCAAGGTATGACATTCTTGGAGTCACCCTCAATGATGAGGGGATGTACATGTTCCTAATTTGGTGTCCCTTTTCAGTTTTTGAGTAGAGCTATGGTTTCGGTCATTGTCGATTTGATGATGCCTGTGTTTGAAGGTAGAGAATAAGCTATTCTCCAAATGGTCTCTAAGGATGCACCCGAAACCTGCTGGACTAGGATTTATGATTGAGCACCCATCAATGTTCAACTCGATATACTTGTGGTTCCAGTGGTCTTCACATGTTGAAACTTGAAATAGTTATCCTTTCTCCACAAAAAAATAAAATTTTATTGTTTTCTTAATATTTCCTCCTTTTTACTAAATTTATCGTTACTTGCTTTCTAAGTTCTGAGTATTGCCGATAAATTCAAGATTCCCAGCTTGTGTTACTATTACTATTAAATACTATCGTCATCATCATCATCACCCTTTTATGGGAGTTCATTATCTTGCTTTCTAGACAAGATCAAAATTTCTGGTTAGATAGGGTGGTTTCAGATTTTTTTTTTGGGGTAAATGGTGGTTTCAGATTTGTCATTTCCTTTTTCTTCTTTTGTCCTTTTCTGAAACTCGTGGGAATGAACCCAAATGCATATAACGAAAAATGATCTATCTATTTTTGCGAAGAAATTCTTTTAATCGCACAAATTTTGAATCCAGAGTCTAGATGCTATTTTTGATGCTGAGATCACAAAAGAACAAATTGAGATTTAACAGCTGAATGCATGAAGATTGAGTCATTACTCCTGATGATAAACTGTATATCAGGATTTGGAAGTGCAATCGATATAATAGATTCAGTTGCGCATTGGAATGGAAGCATCCATGCTTAGTAATAGAAGGATTTATCAGAATCATGTAAAATTGGTCCTGTTCAATCAATGGTATTTGTCTATTTGATGTTATTTCATTTTCTGTAGTGAACGTTAGTGTTGTTGGGTTCCTTTGATCAGCTAGAGTTATTGTTTGAGTTCAGATTCGACTTTTACATTTAGAGATTCCTCACTTATGTCTGCTGATGCATTTTTGGTACAACGATGGTAGCAATTCATGTTTTATTGGTGAATAGTGGTATATTATACGGTTGTTTACCTTGATTGCATGATGATATCAATGTTAAGAGAATTGAAAAAACATTGTGGTTATTTTTGTAATTTGAGTAGTTGACGATGCATTTGTCTAGAATCTCTAGCTAGTAAACTCATGGATCTGGTGACGTGAATTTGAGCATTTGATGATGCATTTATCTCATACAATGTGAGATTGATTTAAAAAAAATTAAGTGGAATAGGTGGTCAAGTAAAGATTTCATGATGGCCATACTTCCATTTTTATTGCTACAAACGAACATTGGGTTTTTTTTTTTTTTTTTTTTTTTCTTTTAGTAGTTAATTTTTTTGGGGAAAGAGGCCCTTGGCTTAGTGTTTAGGGCGATGAAACTGAAATGTAATGCCAAGGGTTCCAATTCAACCTTTTGAAATTTGTTCAACCATTACTTGACCCCTATAGGTTGTTATAGAATATCTTAATTATGAATCAATTGAGGAATGTGTTGCAAAAATCAGGAGACTGCACTTGGACTCTGGAGGGAGGAATTATGGGCTGGGTGAGAACGGGTCGATTCAGGGCCGGATTCAACCAGATCTGGATCCGGATCTGAATAGTATTACATCAGATCCGGATTACTCTCTATATATACTATTTTATTTATATATATATACATATATATATATATACATATATATACATATGTATATACATGTATATACATATGTATATACATGTATATACATATATATATACATGTATATATATATATATATTGCAAAACCAAGAAACTTATCATGCAATTAAACAATTAAACAATTAAGCAAGCATTCTCACATATCCAAAATATATTAATACGCATAAAATAATAAAAATAGAAAAGGGAGCTATATCAAGAATGATCCAAGTGGTATAAGTAGCTTGACGAAATTTAATACTGAAAATAGCTTTTATTTGCATTCTAAAACGTCACAACTTATACATTCATATAGAGTAACAAACTATTCAATCCAACAAATTAAACTTTAAAGCAGAAGTACACTTTACAGACGCAGTAACTACAAAATAACTTCCACTCTGACGAACAGTAGCTTGGAAGGTTGTCAAAATTACATTCACACATAAAGCAAACGCTCAAACACTCAGAGGATTTTTACAAAGAGAAAACACTCGGAGAGAGAGAAGATAGAGGACTCTGAACTTTTGAAACCTCTTAGCTCTGATCTTAGCCTGGCTTCTTGAGGGAGGAGATCTCCTTTTATAAGCATGGGCTTCAAATTCTTTTCTTAATCTGTTTGTTGCTTTTTACAGGGCGCTCTAGATGCATACAGGTGGATGGTAGATGATGCTCGTGCAGCTGTCGGTGACGAAGTGGAGGACAGGTGGATGGTAGAGATGAAAAGTAGAGAGAGAATCTTCTTTTAGCTGTCGGTGGATTGTCGTCTTATGTTGGTGAAGAATATTTTTCCCTGTAGCAGGGACAGGTGGATTATTCTTTGTTGGCTGGTGGTTACCTTTTTACTGTAGCATAAAGTAGAGGGGACAGGTGGATTATTCTTTGTCGGTTAATGATTGGCTTGAATTTGTTGGAATCGAGTCAGGCGGGTCCAGCCTAGTATAGAGTTTGCTTTTGAGAACAGCCATGTGCTGATTGATCTTCTTCAATTTCAACACTGTTGCTTTCTTCATTTTGTGCTTCTTCTTCAGATATCTGGAGTAACTGTTTTTCAAGTTCTTCTTTGGTGGCCTTTGGGTTTATTTTCTTCAGTTGTCTTATATATTCAGAAAGATTATTTGGGTGATCATAAGAGGATGATCCCAGGGCTTCAGGAATTTTCTTCAGTTTAATTTGATCTGGTTCAAGCCAGACTCCACCTCAAACACAAACGCCGGTATTCCTACTGTCACCAATCCCTCGAAAAACCTCTTCTACTGGTAAATCCCAGTACAAAGAAACAACTTTTCTTGTAGACTCAATCATTGCAGACATACATGCAATGGAAGACCCAAATAGAGTTGCAAAAATTTACCTATATAACAATATCTGCCCTT